CCCCAAAACCCCAAAACCCCAAAACCCCAAAACCCCTGAAATCAGGACTGAAGTTGAACTAAAATAATATCAAGTATTAATATTATTCCCTATTTAAATGCATTATTGGTCGACTGAATTTGATGCTAACAAAAGTGAGGTATTGATCTGGTGGTCATTAAGTGGCCTAGCCATCTCAGGGAGATGAAATGCTTTCTGTATCGTTTTGATCGATCAAGTGACTCCTAAAAATTTAGAAAATAACTACCATCTTTAATTAAAGACTTGCTAAGATCCTGTATTTCCATCCAATTCTGGTCTCTGATAGAATCAGCAAAGGTATAGCTGTTCTTAAACTGATCTTCTCGTCTCTTTGACCTAAGGATCTCTAACCTGCTCCGTTTGCTCTTCATCTTTGGAGATATCTTGAGGATATCTTCTGGGCGAGAAAAGGCACTTAATGTAATCTGGTGATTCACTTCCTTCTGAGTTTCACTAAATTTTCATATCCAAGCCTACCATTCTGTGAACACGTTGTCTATTTTATCCGTATTCTTGGCTATGCCTATAGAATATTAGCCAGAGTAAATAGATGCACAAACTCTTTGTGGTGACTAACTTGGGTCTCTTTTCAGGCTTCATCTTCATAAACTTCTGAAGTCTAGACTTGAAATGGTAGAATTACGCCTTATTTGTCAAGTTCTTGTTTGTTGACGAGGTTCCTATTCTATCTACATATGTAGTAATTTAGTACTGAAAAGTAAGGAGATAATACCTTCATTATCTTTATTTAGACAAATCAATCAGGTTGGGCATGATCTTTTTGATCTTAATCTTATTGTTTTTCCTAAACTTTCTGAGCTTGTCTTTTTCAGGAAGCAATGATGATATTTTGTGTGGAATATTTTGAGGGCTCTAATAGAATTATAGGGAGACCCACCTCTTCACTTGCCTCACTAGATTCTGATGAAACTTCCTCAGCATCTTTATCAGAAGAGCTTTCTCCAAATTGGTCTTTGTAAATTCTCTTTTTAAACTGTAAATTTGAGCCCAAAGTATCTCTAAAAACAGCATATCCTTCTGAAAAGTTTTGTAGTTTATGAGGGCCTTTGCGGGGTTTCCTTACGTTAGAAATCCTTAGAGAGTTCAGGTCATACTTATGGACCTTGTTACTCTCTCTATGAGCTTTGGCATTGCCCCAGTGATGGATGTGTTTTCGCATCTGTTTCTCAACTTTGACATCAACCAAGCGTTTTCTCTCTGATCTTTGTAAAATATTGAGCAGGTTATTTGTAGCTCTTATCGTATTGCTGGGGTGACAGGTTTAGGTCTTTAGAGACAGACGAGCTTTTAGCTAAAAGTTATGCCAAGATGATACATAATGTTCCAACTCCATTGTAGGAAGATCTTAGTGGGTCAGGGAGCTTTAAATTCCCTCTTACTTGAAAATAGCTATTGTTCCGATCGAATTTGGAAGAAGTCAGGTTCATTGAATTTGATAATGAATCTATTTTGTATTGTCTGGAGTTTAGATTTTTATTAGAAATTTTTGCTAGCTTGGTTTTCTCACATGACTTAAGGATGGATTCAGTTGATTTTGTATCTCTCAAGAACTCCTTCTTATTATTTTCTTCCTTTTCAGGTTCTTTATCAGCTTCTTTTTCTAGTGATTGCTGATTTTTGCTCTATAAATAAAACTAAAATTATTCTTATTTGAGATTCATTAAGTACTTACTTTCAGTTTAGACCTTCTTTTAGAATCGTACTTGATCGGTTTAACAGAGTAAGCTATCTTATTTCCTGTAGAACCACCTGAAAATTCTAGAGAGATAGAGCATTTGCTGCCTTCCACTCTGCTCCTTGAGCATTTCAATTATAAGCTGCCTTAGGCTAGTCATAATCTCATTTAAAACATGGTAATTAGGGATGTGGTACTCTCTATCATGAATTTTCTTATGCTGCTCTTCATAGAACAGGACAAGATGGTTATTTCAAATCAGTAAATTCTACAGAATGGTTCAGAAAAGGACTATAAAAATTAACCACCTGCTTTATCAACGTTCCTGTTATATCATCAGAAGGAACTTCATAGTTTTTGTATTTATATTTCTCAATAAAGCTACGAACATTTTCTATGTTAATGTCAGCTTCGTTCATCACTTTGTTAAAGTTACTGAGCTCATAAGTCTCTCTCTGAGCTATTTTTGGACCTTGGCTAATACCTCTGACTTGTAAATTCATAGTAGAAATAAAATTCAATAAACTAAAATGATCTTGGGGTTTTGGGGTTTTGGGGTTTTGGGGTTTTGGGG